CTTGGTCAACACGACACCTGGTAAAAAGATGATATATTGTCAAGGAATCAGTTTCCGTCTTACGGCATCAACGCTACAACAAGCCCAGGAGTACAGAAGAGGATATAAGTGCGCACGCATCTATCAGACAAGCCAGGTGCCATATGCATATTACCTCATCTGCCCCTGGTTGTCTATACTGACACGCGTCTATTGTGGGATTAACAGCACGAACCACCTTTGACACAAATGGTTTTGCGAGACAAGATATTCGTCTAAATCGCGTGTCTCAAGACATCTAGCAGTACCAACTGAGGTTATTTCACAGGCCAGTCAGATTAATGTCGCGAACGTTACTTTATTCTGATGTCGCAGGGAGGCGGAGCCAGTACGCAGCGATACTGACAGCTCTTTAGAAACTAGTTGAAGGAAACGGTCCTATCACATCAATTGAGTGCCTCAAACAAAGGATTCCTAAAGCCTGCCGGACAGATCAACAAGCCATGGCCATTCTTGATTCCCTGAACGCGCCACTGGATAGAGTTCCGTCGCATCATTTCCCCCCATCCTTCCATCCCTTCTCACCTCCGCTGCGGTCTCTTTCTACACCCCAGGGTCACATAACTTCGCACGCGACGTTATGTTATATTATAACCAGTTCTCGGGTCATCACAGCAAAACCAACATTATAGTATTATCTATGATATAGATGCTCAAGCCTCAAGTCAGTCAATCTGGTCTCTGTTAATCTCCTGTCGATGACATTACCCTGGCCAAACGGACTTGACGGCATTGCAAAACCTTCCCTGCTCAATCTGTGAATAAACCCAAGCAAAGAGATCATCGCCAATAGAAGAAGCTCTGATTCGGAATACGACATTCGTACCCCTCAGAGCTCGCACGTTGAATTTAGACATCAGCCAAGCTACATGGCCCTAACTTTACGAACTCCGAACAAGGTCATTCATTCTGCCCCGTCTTCGCCTATCCTTGTCAGCGCAATACCTATACTACTGTCGAATCAAAACAACCCGCATGCTCAAATCGCATGATTTCCTCTTCATGCTTTTGTGGAACTACTGACTACAGCGAGTCACACCCTCCAACCTTCAGGATAAAATACCCACTCCAAGTCGGCCGTCTCAAAACAACTACATGATACGGCCTCATGTTTAGTGCACACCAGGGAGCAGCAGATACCATTACCCTACAAAGTGGCACTGCTTTGAACATCAAGATGCTGAGCGATGAATCCGATGATAAAGACTCCGAGCTCTTCTACAGCCAAGCTGTGAATTACGTTCTCAGACAAAAGAATACCTCCCCAGCCAGACGCTCCTCAACAAGGGTCTGCGAACCACGGATGTTCCCGGGCGAATCAAGGCACGATACACTGTCTGGGAATCCCTGGATGAGAACACCTGACTGGGACAAGACCTTACATATTGCCATCACCTGGGTAATCATACGTGGATACTGAAAGCCTCTGACGGCCTTACTACCCGCGGGGGCTTCTAACATGGTGGAGTCTGATCATGGAGTACTTGAACTCTCTACATCTTCGTCCCTATTCACCCCGGCTGCCTTCTATGGTCATTCATTGCCATAGACCATGCCAAATGGCTTCTCTCATCGAGTAGCGCCGTATCGACTACGATAACGTGTCCAGAGCTTATCTTACATCCTCATCAGGCGCAGTAGGGAATGCTTCCATCTGGTCCTGATAAGCCCCACCCAAATCCGGTGATATGTCAGAGCTACAGCACGCTCCTCCAATTCGAGCTGGATATCAAACGAAACGATGCATGGACTGATTACATCCGTATTCCAAGGATACGATAAAACGTACAGACTTTAGTCTATACCTCCATCTAGCCCTGGCCCAATTCTTTCAAATTGTCCTCACAACCTTCGAACCCCCAAATACATTGACACTTCAAGCCTCTTTCCACTAGAGAATACAGCACATTCCTTGATTTTGAATTGGATATCGAACGAGCCATGAATTGGGCGCTTACATCCTGATTACCTACCAATACTAACCTACTTCAAAACGCAATACTCTCGCTCTCAAACGCCCAGAACACCCAGGTCCAATGGATTATGGAACACGGAAGCAAAATAATCAAAACGAACAACCGATGCAGAAAGCCGATCAACCATCAGGGGACATTAGGCGGTGTGCGGGTTGTATCACATTGTGAATAAAACGCCACTAGATGAGTGACAAGGATATGACGGCCAACGATGCTGAGGAATAGATGATATTCCAATTATCAGAACCTCCATAGTAAATTTCTTAGACCAAGGCTGAAAGTACAGAGGATAAAAAGAAAAGCTCGAGATAAATGGCATGGTTAGCTGATGTCTCATCTTCGCAATTCTACAACAGACCCCCCAGTTGGGAAAAGGCATTAAGGAGGCTATACATGCACCTATCAACGCATCGTTTCTTCATACTCGGCGTTGCTTTGCCTCCCCAAAGTGTAATCCTTTCTTTGCTCAGGGTGGGTGAATTACTGTTACGTGGACTGGGCTTCACTGTCTTATTCTAGGCCTCACCGCTGTGTACATGAAATGCTGGCGGTGGAGGTCGAAAGAATCAAACGTTCGTTTAACCATGTCTATTTACATTATCTGACGTTGAAGAGAAAGGTTCGATGGTTCGCAGATCAGTAATAGAGCTTATTGGAAGCGTTGATTAAAGCCGTCGACGAATACCCCCAAAACACATGCCCTGCCTGCACCCTGTTATGACGATAAAGCCCTATGAGGGTTGGCAAGTCGGTGGTGAAAGTTCTCCGAAGGTGTAAATTCTATTCTATGTCAACAGAAGCAAGCGTGAACTCATTGCGGGGCGGCAACAGAAGAAAACGATTCTCTGCTGTGACTACATGGTCCCAGGCAGGGCGGATGGGAAGAGGGCAGAGAACATGGGTCGCTGTGATGTAGCTCATTGATGGGGTGATGACATCGTTGGCTGTATTTGTGGAGTTAGTACCTCGAGGGTGGTAAATCCATTCCCTTCGAGGGAAGGAGGAGTGAAGAGGAGGTGGATACACTTGGGAAGTATGATTGGGAGGCGCTAAAGCTACACTGGCTAGGATACAATTACACTGGTGTATGCTATCACAATACTTTCTGTCTAGTCTACTTACTATGTTAAGGCAGGCCTACTTCTTCTGATTAAACAGAATCTTGACCGCTTGAATCCATGTCTGAGATATTGAATTCATGTTCATAATACTAAGAATATTTTAAGTAATTGTAATATTCTTGTGATTAGAGGTTTTATCTAAAACTATACTTGAACCTGAATAGGATATTATATAAGATAGTATCTAAAACATTAAGTATGATTATACCTTGGTCAGTGTGGCTGTAGCGCCTCCCTAAAACTGGATTGACACTATCAGGTTTCGGTTTCTGGAACGATCGGTTACCGAACGGGTTTTAAGCAGAAGCATGAAATAAAGACGGCATCTATATTCAATCTATAATATGGGCCGTTGTCCATGTTTCGAGACCCGGAAGACCTGTCTATCCTCTCGATCGGGTGGCATTTGATGCCTCAGGCAGAAGACCGTGTGCAGCGACACGCATCCTGCTCGATTAGAATAATCCTACCAGTCATTCATCGAGGGAAAATAGTCTCAGTGAAGATGGAGTACATCATTCCGGTTTCCTTTCATGTGTACGAGGTTGAGTACATAAAGGCCTACTGCTGGAAGATAAATGAATTTGATCCGGTGTATAGCCCCAGACAATAATGATATTGGACCTTCAGTGGGATAGACTATATTCAGTGGAAAGCATACTATATACCACCGCGTAATTAGTAAAGATATGGTTACAGTGCATCTTTCTCCTCCTCCCGCTTTTGTTTCCGGGACAGAAACGAAAAGTGAATATATACCTCAGGCACACATCCTGTGACATGACCTGTCCACGGGTCCGAGCATATGTCAAACTTTGTTTCAACAACATACCACACATGGTAAAGTTTAAACCTACCCACGTGGTGTATTGAGTGTTGACATATGACTCCTTGCTTCCCCATTATGTGGATTGTATGTACTAGTCAATATGGACCACGCCGTGCTGTATGCAAGGCGAATACTTTGTGAAAGCACGACCCACAAATACATCTTGGCGACCAGGACCACGTGAAGAATATGAAAAACATAGGAAAGCACAACGATGGATATGCGAACGTCCGCTTAGTCCACATGTGATGCACCGCTGATCCCAATAAATACCCAACTTACTCTCATTACAGTAATTATGACACCCAACCCAGCCACAAAAACGATCGACAGTAAGAGCAAAAGAAACCACCCCTGCCAAGCACACATAAAAGCTGAAACTTGATGCCCGAAACATCATTACCTACAGGTACATGGCATGCAGCCTGATGAAGATTGGTGGCCTTGTGAGATCGGGTGGGGCGAAACATCCTCGACATCTGTACAATGACGTGATGATGCAGCTCGGAGATGCCGTATATGCGCATAGTGCGGGTGGGGGAATTCGAATGACGCCACTCGTGGGATATTGGGTTACTATGTTGGGGCTTATCAATTTATTCACGGCTGGGACACTGTAGCCTGATATTCGAGGCCAGGAAGTGGTTTGGGGATTTACTTAGGGTAGTGGTGGGTATGGTGAGGGCAGTTTGGCTGTTAAGGTAGCTGCATCTCTGATTGGTTGGATTGATCATCGTTCATTTTTTTCGTAGGGGAGATAGTATAAAGGCTGGTGAGGGAGAATAATAACCGAAATAAATCACTGATGCTGGAGAATGTACTTGAAAGGAAAAATTCCACGATGCGCGTCATATTTTGTAGATTCGTGAGACAGTTCATACAGGGCCGGCGTGCGGAAGAGAAAAGAGATAGAAATGAAAAAGCGGAAATGATTGATCAAGCAACAGGGACCGGGAAAAATAGGAACAAGCGAAAAGGGAAATCAATCGAAGGAATATGGAAATGAAGAAATGTAAAACAGAGCACGGCGATTGTTTAGGCACCGTACTGTCTCCTGACGAAGCGATGAACACGCAGTTTATGTTCCATAAAGTTGTCCTTCCGACTGAAAGTTTTATCGCAGCCCGGTACGTCGCAGGTGAAAGAGTGAGGAAGTATATGTATGGTTTTGACATGTCTAATGAGATCTGTAGGCCGATTGAAGGAATTTCTGTAGTTGCAGCCTTTCCATTCACATCGCAGTCTCGATTGACTTGTCCTTGTATTGGTCAGCCCTTGTTAAAATGAAAAATAATATAGTCAAACGAACCTGGGAGTAAGTTGGGATTCCCGTGAGATGTGCCCGGTAGCGGCAAAAGATGTAGGGAAGAGTTCGTCGATGCTGCTGCTTCCTGGCACAGTAATCTGTGGTTCTGGGAAGGATGGCAGTTGCTGTGTTTCAATGAATCCGTCATTGGATGCGCTAGTACCCAGCACTGGTGGACCTGTGTTGTATCCCATGTCGACCATGGTGTGGTTTGCATAAGCTTGGGTGATGTCACCATAAATGACGTCTGTGTCGAAAGGAAGGTTCGCCGGTGGCATGTTCTCATACGCCATGACTTGTTGGTTTGTTTGTGTACCTATCGCGGGTCGTCTAGTAGAAGACACATGAGGAGAATGTCCTGGATCGGTATAGACATATCCCCCGGGCGCCGCCGACTGACGGTCGGTACCCCGGTTTTGGTGGGCCCGGAAGTTCTGAGCCATCTTGAGACGATTCTTGGATTGATAGTATACAAACTCTTGAGGACGGCAGAGAAATGAGTGTGCTCTGGAAATGTGATAAAGGAACCAAAATGGATTAAATAGGCAATGGAGGGGGTGATGTGCACCTGGTATAGGTTCAGTCAATCGCGGGAGCCGAAAGTTTATTATATCTGGAGGAATGGATTGCCAAATTTTTCAGGAAGGAATGAGGCAGCCAAATGGAAAAGCGAAAGATAGCGACATCTCCGGCTTCCCGCAGAACGCTACAGTTAACGTGCAGCCAAGCTGACAGGAGTCTGCACCCAAAGGCTCTCATGCATGAACATGCAGGTCATCTCTCCAGGGTCACCGCGGGAGCCGCCACGATCCGGCAAGAAAGTCACCATTCTGTTGAAACATGAGCGCAGTGATAGTTGGTCATGTGAATTAACTTCACTGTTTTTCCCGTGAAGCTGGCAGTCCTGTCTCATTGTCCTGACAGTGACTCCAATAAAATCGACGACAATAGGTACAAGAAGCGCAAGATGAGCAAATGGCTTATTTAGAGGGTCGTCAGACTCGAGTGTTGGAAAACATAATCATCGTAAATGGACCAAAAGAAGAAATAGGACGGCGTTGGGAGAATCTGAAACGGCAGAGAAAACGCAACCGATGGTATAGCCTCAGGCGACCGGCGAGGGCGGCCTCGGGCGGTTACTCCGCAACCACACGGACCACCGGATCCGCTGCAGCCGATGGAGGGAGCCCCGCCATGGCTCCAACCTCGGTTTCGCTACCAATCACTGGCACGATATATCGATTGGACACCGGGTTTATGCTGCGGCTGTGTCAGAATTCGAAATTTCAACACACAAGCAGCGAGTCTCAGAGATGTCTTTCTTGCGCCGCCTCACTATGGGTCTACCCGGGTGGCCAGTCCTGCCCAACCACAGCCGCAGCCTACTGGGTACTGCGTAGGTGTCTGTAGGTGTTAAGAAGCAAATCATGTACCTTATTTCGGTAACTAGCTGATTCGGGAAATGAGAATGAAACGCGATCATTATTTAGGGACAGTTCCACATTTGGCGGCATGGCATAAGTATGCATAATGACACCTTACTAAGCTTGGTCTGCATCTTATCACTTGTCCGTCTTGGTAGCGGGGCCTGGTCTGATTGGCCCCTGGTTGATGTAGAAACCTGCTCAGGGACTAGACATGCAGGACAAATTGATATGTAGTGTAGATCTAGATTAAGACGAGGGATAAAAAATAGAGAAATAGTGAACCATACGACTGCGGCTATAAAGAAGGATAAAAAGTCGAGGGGAAATAAAAAGGAGATCACTGCAAAGACACCATGAAGACGAAGAAGATAGTGAGAATAGCTTTCCAATCTCAGTAGACCAAGGCTGCTAACTTCATTTGTTATGAAGGCAACTCGATGCAGTGATGACAGAGTCCCATAACAAAAAATAGGACGAAATAGCAATCGTTCGATGTATTCAATACCAGCAAGGAGCTCTGTCGAAGACCTCTGGACGGCAGATAATATGGCACTAATAGTAATCACGTAGCTGATGTTGATTGTCGATAAGTGAGCGCTGAGACTGACCTTCCCTTTCCACCTGATGGACCCGTGAGAGATGCTCCATCAAATTATCACTGCGATTGAAGGAGCGATCGCATCCGGGAACCCAGCACGGAAACGAGTCAGGGGACACATGAATGTTCCTAACATGTCTTATTAGATCCGCTGCTCTGTTGAACGGGTGGGCGTAGGTGCAGCCATTCCATTCGCAAATCAAGTTAGAGGTCCGGCAATTCCTGAGATTCGTCAGTTTGGCATTTCGATAATCGGAAACTGGTTTGCCTACATACGTTGCATAAGGTTGTGCCCTCTGTACACGATATCGTGTGTCCAGGCTGCCTCTTGCAACACCATTCATAGAGGTCCTATGTGGATGTGATCCATGACGACCTCCCGATAAGTGTCTGCTGGATGGAACACCAATTTGTTCGTCATTACCATTCCTTATGTACCCCGTCAAAGCATGATTCGGTCCCAATGAAGTTCCATCGTACGCAGGTATCTGGTAGGCGTTTCGGGATGGATTTGGGGGGGCACGGAAGTAAGTCCAGTGGGGGTGATAAGTAGGAGTAGGACATTCGGATCGGAGAAAACTCATGTTCGCCAGACGCTGGACATGGCGGTTGCTCTGGTTGGCTGTTTCGGAGTGGTGATATTGCATGGCGCGATTCTCGTCGTCATTAGGAGTGACATGGATGAAGGCTGCGTCATGGGAGAAACGGTCGGTCGGGATCTCTGTAGGGCTGGCCATCATCAATAACAATACGATACCAGTTGTTGTGGGGTGTAGAATTAACGGAACGGAGTAATATTGCAGATGGGACCGGCAAAGGGTTGATACTTGCGGGATACAAAAGAGCATCTCCATAAAAAGCCCACGCAGGGCGGAGGGGCGTATTTGTATTCAGCAGGGCGTATGAACACCTCATTGAAACCCAGATTGCATGCTGTGCAAAGCCCTCAAGTGGGAGAAGTTTTGATTGTTACGCAGTGCAAGTCCTGGAGAGCCTGATGCAGGACGGTGGGCCCTTGTTAACTCGATGCGCCCAGAAGCATCAAAAATGGACAGCAGGGAAATGCGGAAGACCAGGCAGCAAAAGTACCTTACACAAAACAAAGGTACGGTGGAGGTCGGAGCCAATAGTGTAAGCGCTAACCCTGGCTTTCTCGGGCAGGGCGTAATTTGGCGCCTGGTACTATGTACCGGCTACACGGCGGATCTTCCCCGGTGTGATCAGGAGGGCTTTGCTGCAGGTGAAGACGCCTAGGCCATTGGAGAAGGATTCCTCCAAGGCAGAAAAAGAAAATCTTTTTTGCCGAACCCACTTGCTGCTCATGCTACTGGTTCCTTGGGACAACGGTTCGGACGAACAGCCACCTCGATCCAAAAAGGATATATGTACGTGCAGTCGGTTAGAATCTCCGACTATAGTACCCTTTCAGATTGTACATCATGACCAAGAGGGTTTTTATCGGTCTCTTATCTTTCGGACTCATTTGGTTCATAGTGTCAATTACAACGCATTACCAGGAACTACTATGACTTTCCTCATAAGCACCATATTATTACAGAACAAATGCGATGTCCATTTGGAATAGATGGCGTCACTCACTGACTGTAAATGTTGTATGGTGAATACATATCCGAGTGACGCGATATTGAGAAGAGGCTAGAAAGAAGGAATAATTAGACGCCAAAGATTTAGCCTAATTCAAGCCTCGATAAGAAATGATTCTAGGAAATTAGGTGGTACCTCTGCTGCAATTGGTACCAAATTGCGATCGTCCACCAGATGGTCCCTATGCTCAGGTGTGACAGGTCACTTCGATGGATGTGATGGATCCCGCTAATGCTGACATATTAATCAGGAAGTACTTTGTCCTCGTACTTTCTTGCGAAAGTGTCGCCAAAAAGTACCTGTTTGCTGTTTGGGGGATCATCTTCCTACATCCATGCTGTGTTTGCTTTCTGGTGATGACGCACCGGACTCCGGGCTGGCGATCCATGGCCGGAACCTTCTTCCAGTGTAACGCGTTAGGCAACTCCCGTGGGCGACAGGTCAAACCAAGCTTGGGGGAAATCTTGCCCCCATCATATGTTGGTCGGACCCTCCCTCGGAGACTTGTTCATTGGTCCGTTCCTTATTACCTCTTTCCCCTTTTTCCTCCTATCCTTTCTGTTTTTGTTGCTGTTTTCTCCTGACCTTGTGTTTGATTATCTTTTTGGCGCCTTACCTCCGCCCATAACTTAACCTGCTAACCAACTGGAATTGCCAAGAAAGTTCCGACCCACGATCAAAGAAGGATTTGTCTAATCCGTACCGGTCGCATTGGCCATTTCACACCCCTACTGGCTATTGCCATTTAACGAGAATATATAGCCTTTGACAAATTTTTTCAGTCTTCTCGGAGTAAGGAACGTTCGCGAAGAGCACTCATAACCCTTTATATGAGGACCGTCTGTGATTGACTGAGAAGGCCCGTTATGATACTCTTCAAGCCCTCGGAATTTTGGATCGAAATTCCATCTATCAGTATGCCGAACCAAGGAGACGAAGTAGAATGGAAACATGGGTATAGCAGACGGCAGTGTTTGGAGCCTGTCCGGCTGGTGTGGCTGTACCCCTTTCTTCGGAGGGGATCTCGTGTGCCTGAGGCGACTGTCGCGCCTTCGGCGGCTGGAAATTTTCCGCCAGAAGATTGAACACCCGCTATTGGCGCGTGCGGGTATTGTGGCAGCACAGGACAAAGAATGCGCAGAGCTTATCTTGACCACTCGGGTGGAGGAATCCGGTGTCTGGGTAATGCCTACGGGGAGTCTACTATGGGCACGAATATCGCAAATTTCGATCGGATGGTTTAAATAACTTCACATTTCCCTAATTGGGTCAATTCCCGAGATCTCACGTCTTTTTGATTTTCTTCAAATAGCTAGACAGCGCATCACAAATGAAAGACATGACTACCACAGAAGCCGAAATATATAATCAAAAGAGCGACTAACGACAATAATAACCAAACAAAACGGCAGCCGCAAGACAAAGCCAGAAGGCAATCAGATCCTTCTGATATCTAGCACTATCCTTCGAAGCAAAAGCTTCATGCATCAAGTGTCGCTGCATGACATGATCCATGAGATGTCCAGGAACCCTAAACGGCCTCCTACGTGGACATCCCTGCCAACGACAATAGTATTCGGCGCTAGGATCATGTCAGCCTGCCATAAACTCAAATCTATTCTCGCCAGATAATCTCCACCTGACTGCCATACCCTTCAAACTCAACCCAGGCTTGGTCGTCCTTGGGATAATGGATTTCGATCCTTCTGGTGGACTCACTGTCCCTCAAGAAACTGCCGCCTCCTTCTTCGTTCACGTCATGTATGGGCTTTTCGACGGATTCGGCATCGAGCACTGGGGTGGCTGCTTTGACCCGGACTCGGGATCGAGTACCACGTGGGTACGTGAGCCGAAGTCGCTGGTGTTTGGTCTCGTCGTATAAGTAACTGGGGGCACTGGGGGTTTCCACTCCAGACGCCCCTGGGTCGTCGAGGGTGGGTGAGACTTTGTTTTCGACTGTTGAAGCGTACGGGGCGACTTCAGGACTGGTTTCGTCTGCCATGGTCTTGGAGGCTCTGAGATACTGGGAAAAACAAGCTGCACTCATGGGAATCAGGGGAGCAGTGGGAATAGCATCTGTAAGCCTTCTGTCGATTCGGTCGAGAATGGCATGATGGCCTTCGTCTGGGCGGGTGTCAACTTTGTTAAGACCATTGTCCGGCGTGGAGGTACTTGGGGCTTGGTCGTTCTCAGTGGAATCCTGGCCCTGTTTGCAAGGCTTTGTGGCTTTGAACAGAGTGCTAGGGGTGATACCCTGGTCTTCGAGGAGTGGAGCAGTATCGGGTTCATCCTGATCCTCGTTCATCTCACGAGAAGTTGCATCGGCACCGGGGGTGGTGTTTGGTTCGGCAGTAACTGGGGCGTTGGTGTTCAAGGCCACATTGCGAGGGGTGGGATCGATGTCTCCGTCATGTGGAGTCATGTAATCCACACTCGTAGTCTCAGCATGAGAAATGTCATCCTCGGTGCGATCTTTGTTCTGCACAGAAGCATCCGGGGCTTCGGTGGTCGAGGACAGACCATAGTTGAAAACATCCAAGTTGTCTCCGGTTGCAGTCATGGTGCTCGCATCGAGCGTGGCTGTGAGGTTGGCGACAGCCTCTTCCATGCTTAGTGCCTCTTCAGGACCTTTGCCTTTGTCCGAGCCCTTATCTTCCGCAGTGGTAGGGAGAGATGGAGTGAAGGGGAGCCTTTCGAAAGTGTCGTCAACCAAATAAAGGAAGGACATTTTGGATGAGTTTATGGTAAAGAAACAATGAGTTTGTTGGGGCAGAGAGAACAAAGAACAATGACCGCAGTGCTGCGACAATGAAGAGTGATCAATATTGTCCTTGTTCTGCGAGGAAAGAAGCTGGTCTTTATAGTCTGCTTTCAGGCCTGTCCACTTGCGCATTTCTTTGTCTTATCGGTAGGATCATTATTGTCATTGTTTGGCTTTGTGGTTTATCAGGAACCTGCATAATGTGTTCATATTCACGCCGTGTCTGTATATCAAATGCTGCTGATATCTGCGTTTACTGAAATGCTACTTTGGGAAACTAGCTATCACTTCATGTGCATTGTGGCAGAATATGACGTGTTGACATGATATGTCTGGGGGTTCCGCGAGTACCCCTTTCTCAGTGCGGGTCTCCAGCGAAACTATATCGGCTTGACCCTATAATTCCTTGATCATCCTCGTATTCTGAAAGAGTCATCAAATGAAATGTTCACGGTTTCTTCTGGTTTGAGATGGGTTCATCGTGGAGTTGATTTCGAGGAATGAGGATGTGTAGCTGCCACATAGTGAGTCACAAACAAATTGGTCTAACAAAGACAGGAATATGACTAACCTGCCCATATAAAAGACACTCGGTGTAAATATTGGGCATATGACGTGTCTCAGCCTCTTGAACCTTCTCGACAACCATCCTGGAAACATACCGGGGACTCCTATGAGTTCTTCCTCATAGTCTGACCGTCAGACGACCTAGAGCTTTCCTGCCCACTAATGGTAGTTAGCTGTTTTCCTCCTGCAGTAGCCTGAAACTGAGTTAAATTATCACCAGGAGTCAGCCAAGCTCAGAATGGAACTTCTCAGACGAATCCGAGCCACCTTTGCATACATGGCTGTCGAAGAAGTGTATTCCTTGTTTAAGGATACAAGTCCCGAGGTTCTGGAGGTCGAGAACTACGGTGCGAGCAGCGTCATGGATGGTTTTCTAGACCATCTAGTAGATCGCTTATTGGTAGGCCCAATAGATGGGCTTTGACTGCCCGACAATCGGCACAACCTGAATAGTGGTTATTATCAGCATCACTACGGGTTCGATAAACGCTTGTCAGGGTTATCTCTTTATAGATTACTACTATCGCGCAATGATACCAGTGTAAAAGTTCTCAATCTACAGTATTTATACAGTAACCGGATATGCGAACGGTGGTTAGATCTATTTTATTATTCTAGTTGATCTAAGTAGATTGCCACTTAAATCTGTCCTCTCTTCACTGCATCTAATGATACGGTGGCTAACGTCCTGCTGGTAAATCGAGTCCACATAGGATTTAGATATCTCGTTACAGATGGGACATCTAAGAGACAGAAGACACATCCTGGAGCTTATGTGCCATATGTAATCCTCATTGCTATAACATACCAGCAGTAGGTATAAGTCGATTATTCACAGCTAAGACCCTTGATGGACAATATCCACTTATGCCTGAGGCAGATAGAGCCAGTCACATGACCGGAAACATCACATGACTTGTCACCAGGTAACAAGGCTGAAGGATTGATCCTTCGAGCTAATGTGTATGGCTTTCAGATTCCCGACGAGTCAACAATTAGTCTGCGACAGAAAGACGTCATAGCTGAGGCCCATGCCGTTGCTGATCAACGGTCCGATCGATATCGGATATCGGACCTTAGCCACAGATCATCACCGGCTGCCGGAACGTGAATTTCTCCCCAACCAGTGGAGGAGATGCCATTTTGAGTTAAGACACCTGGCAAGGCCATGCTCTGAGAGCAGATCATATCCCGAGTTGGTCGGAATTTCGGATAGTATTATTGTCGGCTGGAGGTGGACCCGGGTGCCCTGACGCGGGGCCTGCACGACCGCTTGATGCTTACGACGTCTCTGACGATGCGTTCTTGCCGAGACTTAATTAGTGGACCTGGCGGAAGATGTTTGGCTGAAGGAAATCCATAGATCCACGGAAGGTAATCTGTCACGTTTATACCAGTAAACCAAAACGATATACCACTGGACTCTGGAGAACAGCCGGAACGAAAGTCAAACTCCAACATAATCCTTGCAAACCCAAGGACGAGATAGTGGAGATTGACACGGCCAAGGTCAGGAACTTACCTGTTACAGTGATCTTGAAGGCACTGGCCACGAGGGACCATTACGTGTCTTGTTTTGACATGCAATCAACTTCGGACATCACAATGCAGGCTCTAATTGTTTAGAGTGGATGACGCTCCGGCTACTTAAGAACATGTATTCTCGATGATTTTCATGAGTTATCATTCTTTTGCATCATTCCCTCCACGAATCCACACAGAGACCGATACCATGAAGCTGACCCAGGAGTCAACCCGCGGAATCAGCGCCTTTTTCCTGCTGGATGTGGCCAACGCTGCTCTCTACGACCAGGTGATTGAAGTATTTCAGGGTTCAGTACAAGGTGCTGCAGTCTTCAATGCGAGCACCGCCCCATCATACATTTCCGAATGGAAAGACATCTCAGTGTGGAAGGGCATCCCGTATGCCGCAACAACCGGGGGAGAGAACCGCTGGCGGCCAACGCAGACAGCCCCGTCCTGGAACGGAACCCTGAAAGCCAGTTCGTTTGGCCCCAGTTGTCCCAGCTCGTCGACCGGAGATGGAATCAGAGAAGACTGCCTCAGCATCAACATCTGGAGTCCCGCCACTCGACCGATGCAAGCTTCCCGTGATGTTTTGGTCTTATGCTGCTGGTGGTGAATCCAGCCAAACTACCTATGATGGGGCGGGCATGGCCGGCAAGAATATCATCGTCGTCAGCTACAACTACCGCACCGGGCCCCCCGGCTGGCTCACCCTTCATCAGCTGGCCAACGAGACCGGAGCGACTGGCAACTATGGTCTCTTGGATCAGATCCACGCACTCAAGTGGGTGCACGAGAACATTGCCGCGTTTGGCGGAGACGCTGACTCGATCATAGTGGCAGGACAGTACTTTGGCTCCGGGGCCGTCTACCATATTGTCAACAGTCCCTTGGCAAAGGGGTTGATCAAGAGTGCCATTGCGGAGAGTGGCCTCAGGGACCCCTATGACCCGGACATGTGGGGTTATGGTAGCGACTACCGGAACATGACTTGGGCATATGCTTTCAGTGAGGCTTTTGCGGAGTCCCTGAATGCAGCTAATGTCTCGGAGCTTCGAGCCATGGATCTCGACACGTTATTGACCGGAACGGGTACGTCCACATTCGTTGGCTTCGACCCGGTGCTGAACTATCATTCCATTCTCAACAAGTACATCGTCAGCCTGGAGGACGGCGCCCCAACCAATGTTCCCATCCTGGTAGGCAACAACAAGGATGAAGACGGCATCGATCTCAGCACCACCTACACAGTGACGGAGTATGAATCGGAGATCAAGTCGACCTACGGACCCTATGCCGCTGACCTCCTGGCTCTCAACCCGGCTAGCAACACCAGCGAAGCCACCGATGCATACAACTCCATCATCCGCTCTGGCTATTGCATCTTGACGTGGTCCTGGGCCGACCGATGGAGCAAGTCGTCCGACAAGCCCTTCTATTACTATATCTGGACGCACTCCCCTCCGGGCTCGGATGGAGCCACTCACGGCTCCGAGGTGGTGTATGCTCTAGGCAATTTGTATGTCCAGTTAGAGGACTACACCGACACCGACATCGAGATTGCTAACATCATGTTACCCTACTGGGCGAATTCCATCAAGACTCAGTACCCTAACAAAGGAGGCTCGTACACGAACGGAATCCTCCCCTACTGGGGGGCCAATGTACGCTCGCAAAACTCTACCTTTGAGTTAGGTAGCCTTTGGAAGAAGATTCCTTTTGCGTCGGTCGAGGAGAAGGAGATTATCCTGGAGTATTTCAAGTATGCGACTCCGAGCCCTTATTAGATGGAGATATGGACCGTTTTTGCCCCGAGTGCTGCTTGGCTGTGGAGGTACACCGCATCGCAAGTCCTCATTCGCTTGGTGCATCTACTCTATGTAAAGTAGTTGTCAGCTTCTATGGCACTCGATGGAGACTTTGTTTGCAGACAGGCCTGATTGCATAGAATAGCTATAACGATGTGTAAATATTATAAATCTGAGTTGACATCTTGACGAGTATAGATACTTCCGTCAATCACTCGATCATTGCTATAGAAATTTAATGTAGAGTAAGAATGTAGATGCCTAGCCCTACTGATATGTCACGCAATCCCCGAGCTATGTTTAGATACAAGGCACGTGAATCAAGGTTGATGCAGTGGTGGGGCAGGCACGGGCGGGATGACGTTATTCACCCACTGCCCTTCCATCTTTATCACCACCAGAAACAATGTCCCAATGTTGCAACACAAAACCATCTTCCTGGTGAAGTTGACTGTTGCCTGATCCCACCCCTCAAATGCATGCAGTGTGGATATCTTAAACATGGACACGTTGTGAGAACCTTGTTGGAAGTTTCGCTCGGGCACAGCCCGGTGAGCATGCAGATCATTGCGTCATCTCCGAGCCTGAAACCGCGGGGTGCTAATCAACAGTCAGTTAATGGAAATCGGGGCCGAGTCGATGGTAGTTCCCCGAGGTTTTGCTGCCAATCGTGGAAGTGCTGATAATATCGTCTACCTGGTTGGATGTGTGGTGACTAGGCCGACATAGTATGTCGTGATGGCCTAGATCAGCGAATCTTGAGGTCATTCTGGATGCTTCTTGTCTGCTTTTTGGATCCAGGATTAAGGATGGTGACTTGAACACGTGTAATCATGCCACGATCAAATCGCCACAGCGTATTCTAAGCCACTGACTATGTGCACTGCCCTTGGTAGACAGCCAGGTCTACCGGTGTTCTCCCGGTATGAGCCGTCTCGATTCACTCCCAGGCTGCAACCATTTCGCGGATTCACTGTCCACAACTGTGAAGATCAAGTAATTGCGGCGACGGAAGCATTATCCACTTCTCAATCCTCACCTACGCTCATCCTCTAGGGTATTGGGTCCGAAGCTGACCCAATCAAATCACTTCAGCTCTTCTTGTCTACTACAGACGGGATGTAGTTCCAGTTTCCCTAGCCTTCTTGCTGTTTCAGCATAGCTTACTACGGCTTTGGAAGTTTTTGCCGATTGGTTCCCTTCTATTCGTAAGCCTGGATATGCATTGGGCACTGGACCTGAATCCTTCCGAGTCCAACAAACCCCCGATTGGACCCAGCCTTCCTGATAGACATCTTCCGGTCCCCACCGCTGCCGCTCCGTGGATGATGAGCTTGATTGTGGACATCGAACAACAGGCGGAGAATATCTAGTTTGTCAGCTATCCCAATCTCGACGCCTAGACGGAGAACCTTCCGAGTCATCCGCAACTCAGCCCCGTCCCCAGGCAATGACATTCTTCCCATTGGTCTCTATACTTCGATCAGGACACCTGAATACAAACACATTCGGCATACAGGAATTCCCATAGGGCCCACTGGCATAACACAATCCCATTGCTATCACCGAGAAGCAACCTGGCAGAACACCGGGATGGGGCACTAGCGGCGGCCGCAGCCGGTTGGTCCCTATCCAAGTCCCAGGCACCCCGACCGCGGCAGGGCTTCGAGCTGCAACCCCCGTAATTGGCCCTGACCCCGTCATCCCCGCGTCAGACACCCGAGGTGCAGTGCTTCGGGGTTATCGGCGTCGAATGGTCGTGTCGGCATTGATTACTTGTTGAGGGGCGCCAAGGGTCGAGCCAAGGCGCCGAGCTCCTGCCAACCCGTGCCAAGCCGGAGATAATGAGATCGTCAGCGCAATTGGCAAAAACAGGGAAGGCCCGGCCGACACCGGCCGCAACGTTGGATAATGGATATTGTCTGCACTGCGCCGATCCACCCGGCTCATTTCGGATGTCGAGAGAGTGCTGACCTTGGAAGGGAGTTGTGATTTTTCAGCATGTTAACCTCGTACTGGTGTGACGGATCTGGTATGTATGGGTGTATGGGTGTATGGCTGTAGGGCTGAAAGACGGATATGGTTGATAATCACACAATGACGCAACAATCTCCAGTTATTCTCAACTCGAACTAGCCTCCGCAGGGCTCTGCAGGTCTGGATGAAGATTTTTCCCTCCTGCCGTCGGTGTCCGACCCCGCCACTGATTGATTGTTGATAAGCTGATCTGACCCACTTGATAGATTGGGATTTGAATCATTGCTATCTGATCGGATCCACTAATCCACGCAAGAAGAAGGGCTCTCCTTAGCGAGAACCGAGGGCTTTTCTGCCCAGCTTCAACATTGCCAAGATGTGAACCGAGATGAAGGATGGCTCCCCCTCTTTCAACTGTATAAATAGCTGCCGATCGTCCCCCTCTGAGGTGTCTCCTGGCATTGTCTTCGCAACAAGCTCTCGCGTCGCATTCGCCATTTCTGCTTCCAGCTTGACTGGCAGATAAAATGCGTCTTTCTGCTGCTTTTGCTTTGGCTGGCCTGGCGGCCGGCTCGACTGCCGCAGCCTGCCCTTACGCCGAGCGCGCCAACAACGACGCCTCGGTTGCTGCTGCTGCCGGTTGTCCTTATGCAAAACGGGCTGCTGCTGCTCCCCCAAAGGACCCTCGTGGGGTATCTCGTCGAGGACCTATTGAGGGCAAGAAGGGTATTTTCTACAGTGAGTGATGCCGAGGCCAACACGATGATCCCAATCTGACACCAGCAGTGAACCGCATTGGACCCTCGGGATCGCAACTCTGGATCTCCAACTCGGACGGTACCAATGCCACCAAGCTCATGGGCAACCAGACCAATGCATTCGACTACCACCCTTCATGGTCGCCGGACGGTCAATGGATTGTCTTTACCAGCGAGCGCCGCGGTCCCGGCCAGTCGGATCTGTACCGGGTTCATCCTGACGGCACGGGACTAGAGGTGCTGGCAGACACCAACTCCGTGGAAGACATTGGCGTCTTGTCACCTAATGGAAACAAGTTGGCATATGTGTCCACGGCTGGCAACTACACTACCAACATCTGGGTCAAGGACCTGACAACCGGACTGGCCAACAACCTGACGGACACCGCATCCACTCGGGCTGACAACATTTACCCTACTGGCCACTTCCGTCCGTCCTGGTCCCCTGACGGCGAGTGGATTGTCTTCAGTTCGGATCGCAACACCGACTGGACCGGCCACAGCGAGGGCGTCGGTTGGGAACACACCCAGACCCTGGGCCTGTACGCCATCCGCCCCAATGGCAGCGACTTCCACACTGTCATCCGCCAGTCCGGCTACTCCCTGGGTACTCCCCAGTGGTCGCCCAATGGAAAGCGCATCATTTACAACAATATGACCACAGAGGACACCTACGGCTGCCACGGCGTCTCTGCCCAGCAGGAAGCCATCGAAGCCCAGATCTACAGCGTCGACTTCGCCACCAGCTCCAACGTGATTGCCCACACCTCCGGCAGCTACCCCAAGGTCGGCCAGCACTACATCGGAAACTCCACCAACATCGGCTACCTGATCAAAGCCGGAGACTATGAGGGCATCCACTACACCCAGCCCGATGCCACCCACCACGCCTTCAACCTAACCTACCTCCGTGACCCCTCTTGGTCCCCCGACGGATCCAAACTCGTCTACTGGATCCCCAACTGGACGCAACAGGCCGCCGACCTGGAGCTCTGGAGCTACGACACTGACTGGGAGTACCGCTACATGGACGTATTCCCGATGCACAACACCGTCGTCAACCGTCTCGCCACGACGCAAAAGGTCCTCGGCAGCGCCAACGGCTCCCTCGTCCACTCCTCCCCAACCTACACCGACGTCGTCGACGCCCTCGACTCCTACGACATCTACAGCCTAAACAACTCCACCGAGGTCGTATGGCTCGAGGAAGGAAACTCCGGCGCGTTCCAGCCGTCCTGGAACCCAGACGGCACCGAGCTGGTCTCCGGCTTCGGCGCCTGGTTCGTCAGCCGCACCGAAGCCGAAGCCCGCATCTGGCACGCCTTCGCCAACGGCACCTACCATACCAACCTCACCGACGGTACCGACAACTCGGGCTTTCCTTCCTATTCCCCAGATGGCTCCGCCATCGTCTACCGCAAGTGGAGCCTCGAGACCGGCGTTCCCCAGGGCCTGCACATCCTCAACTTCACCACCGGCCAGACCCATCAACTCACCTCCGGCTGGGATAACACCCCGGGCTGGTCTCCCAACGGCGAACGCATCGTCTTCACCCGGAACAACAACTGGACTGAATCCTACGGTGCTCGGTGGTACGCTGATCGCTTCGATATTTATACCATCCGTCCTGATGGATCGGAGTTGAACCGTGTCACGGATAGTTTGTCCAACGATGCTCAGTAAGCCCCTCCTCCCTTTCACATCCATTCCATCAGATTACTAACGATATTACAGCGCCGTCTGGTCCAAAGACGGCCGCATCATGTGGAGTACCGGCATGTACGGGTTCAAGGACGAGAGCGCACTCTTCGATAATACCTTCCAGCCCTACGGCCAGATCATGGTCATGAACTATGATGGTACTAACAAGACGCTTGTTACGGATACTATATGGGAGGATTCGATGCCGTTGTATATGCCTAATGAGTATCTGGAGTAGATACCCTGAGTGTGGATGATGGTATATGCTTTTGTTTTGAATAGCTGTATAGTTATGAGGGGGATTGTATGTATAGCTGAATGAATGTTTTGATATCGTTATGATTCTTATGGTTGTAGTAGGGTAATGGTTAGGGGTTGGGGATATATATAACTGAGTGCGTTGCGGGAAACATTTCCGCAACCGAGCCCTCACACTTCTTCTCGATAAATAATAGGCCTCCAAATTTAGGCACAATTTAACATAGTTATAATCTTACCGCTCAAAGTAACCTCACGCACCACATATCACTGAACAGAGACTAATCACGTGACACTACAGTGTGGGCCGATTGATAATGTGGATTGGGAATGAGAACTCTACAATTGCAAAGCGGTAGCATGTCGTCGTTTTCAGCCCTTGGGTGTAACGGTTTTGGTATTCTAACTTGTAAAAACATTCTGAGAAAAAGAAGGTGTCCTCGGCTAGTGAGCCTTATTAATAAGGGTTATTTGATATGTTGTTTGTAGGCTGTGCCGCGATATACGAGCTATGAGATAGAAACTGTAATATCATGTAAGATATACAGTCAAAACTATGGAATGATAGCAACGTGTCATAGGAATCGCCTTTATCGCATTTAGAGAATATCTTCATATTAGTAGATAAAGCGCGCAATGTCATATGATTGGCCTATTAGTCTGATGATAGATAGGCAAGAATTAACCATGGATTGTAAGGGGTCATGGTTGTTCTAAAGTACGGATTCTGGCTAAAAGAAGGAAGTAGAACACGGTGAGCATGGTTTGACGTCTATGATGGGTTATTAAACAGTTTTTTTAGATTCCTTCCTCTCCATTAGGGGAAATGTCTAAGGAGGTAGAGGCGAGGTGAAACGAGAACCTCCATGCATAAACACTTGTCACCCCCCATCTAACCCCCCCTTCCCTCATTTGTAATCTAACACCCCTCTCCCCCTTCCCCCCTCAACCTCCTCCACCCCCCCTCCCCCAAATGCCCCGCCCTCTCCTGATGTTTCACCAACCACAACCTCGTCGTAAACACCCCGGACAACGCGGACACTTGACCCCATTCAAATGCTCCATCTTAATATGCGTGAATAACCGAGTATACCCATTAAACCACTCCACACAGGTGCATCCTATCCAATGGCATTGGAATTTCGGGACACCGGGACCAAGGTCGCTTTTAGTGTGGTGGGAGGAAGCTCCGGGTGAGGATTCGTAAGGGCTGTAGGGTAGGTGAGATTCGGTTTCGCTGTGGGATGGTTTGGGGGGGAGAGGTCGGGGGGGAGGGAGTGGACGGGGGCTGTTGGATGCTTCTGGGAGGGAAGCGTTCCAGGTTAAGTCGAACATGGCGGGGCGTGGGATGGGGTGGGGGTTGGGGTTGAAGGTGGTGAATGTTGAGCGGCGAGGGGAGGGGGCGAAGATGCGGGGGGGTTCTTGGAGAGGGGTTTCGATGCTGGGGATGGGGGTGTCGCAGTTGGGGTTGATTGTCATGGTGGTGTCCGGGTTGGTGGCGTTGGTTGTGGTTGTGGTCGTGGTGTCCATGGTTGTGGGTGGGTTGAGTGGGAGGTGGTGGTTCATATTCTCGATTTGGGATAATTGAGAGAAGAATGAGTGTGGTGATGGTTTTCGAACGCAGGAATAAGAGGAGTAAGGGTTAGAGTGGCGAGGGTTTAAGTTTAGATATATATAGAGCAGAAATTTGAAAGATTTGAAAGATTTAGGGTTGTACCTTCTGGTCGGACATTTTCGTTTCTTGCATGGCAGGTGCATGTCTCACATGATGTGGAATTTGATGCTGAGGATACTGGTGCCGATGGATCATAAAGAAGTAAATAGAAATGACTTGTCATATATTAGAAGATCCAGAATGGGAATTAGTATCACGGAGAAGTACCGGAAATGCATTTGATAATAATCGGGACTATACTGTTGGAACAAAGGAAAATGGCAATGGGCACCGGTTACAAAGGAGACCACCGTGATATAAACATACTTCGTATATTTCGCGTTCTGGAGTGTTCAGATGAAGTGGATCAAAGGCATAAATTATTATCGGATGCAGGAGAGTATGCTTCTGTGGATATTAATAGATCGAAAATTTGGAAGCCCTCGGAAGGCGGAGGATGCAGCCATCAAAATCCCGAAGATTGAAGAACAAAGACATAGTCAGATCACATGACCATTCTATCTGACTGGTAGTATGATAGACAAACGTATCTCTGAACAGAATCAAATGAATGAAACAAGGTTGGCTTTGTATCCATTTCCTGCTTGACGGTCCTGACTCCAAAGGCATACACCATGAGGTGTGTTCTGTGTCCTTCCCTTTCCAACCCATTGTTGTTTAGAATCACTTCATGTGCCTACTATGTGTTTAAACATTCTTGGCTCTCATAGTTGTTAGGTTGTCTGTCTTAATGCTGCACCATTTTCAGGTGGCAAACTGCTTCCTTGTTATTTCGGGGTTGGAACAAAACGATACTACACTGGTGGCCCTAATGTATAGTTCGCTACCTTCATATTGTGCGCATGACTCATGCAAGTTGGCGATAACCGAATATTTCTCGAGACTGTAGCTGCCGGAATACATGTGAAGAAAGTGCAAAGAGAAGGCAGAATAGATAGAAAAAAGTACCATGAGATATAGACATCGTAAATCGTCAAATCAGATGAACCCCGAAATGATGTGAAACAAAGACCATTATGGAGAAGAAAGCAACGATGGAGCCAAGAGAACCGAAGAAACTTGGTCTTGAATCAAGAAAGAGTACACAAAGTCATCAATACTCTATAGCCCTATTTGCAGTGCGAGTCGAATGATGGGACTGCAACATATGCTGCTTCAGAGTATCCTTCCGGTTGCAACGATGCCCACAGAGTGCACATGGAAAGGATTCTGGGGAGATATGGATGGCGTTGACGTGCCTCCTCAGCTCCGAGATGCGCTTGAACATTCTGTTGCAGTTCATCCAGCGGCAGGGATGAGTGGGCGACCTGGCCTGTCAGTCTGCCGGAGCTTAATAAGGGATGTGAATGTCCAACCTTGTCATGGCGTTTCTGTTATATGCATCAAGGCCTGGTGGGTGGGCAAACGTGTTGTCGACCCCAGTCCTCGGGTAGGTGCTTGAAGGGGTGGATTGGAGTGGGTTGCCGCCATCTACTTGAGAATTGCTCACTGGAGTGGAGGTGCCATACATGGTTGGATGAAAAGACCCCAAGTCCCGATACACTGCCTGCAGGTCACCAGAGGCAAGGTTAGGCCCATTCTGCACTGGAACAACCTCGTAGTAGTGGTTGACATGCTCCGGCATGGTGTGTTGTGTGGATTGTGTGTACGTATGGTATACAGCTCCAGTTGTCATGTTCTGCGTCGGATCGAAGTATGTCATGTATAGACCTGAGCTTTCAGGCTCCATTTGGGCAAAGGGATTGGAAATATGCGGTGATAGATATTGCAAACAATGATGGGGTCCAAAGTCAATCAAACCAGTTTGAGAACCGCTGAGTTCGCAGTGAAATATATAATAGAAGTGTGCGTAATGACTTGTTATTACTTTGAATGATTGACTGGGCAATGACTGTGTACTCTGCCAGACATGACAACAGGATGACAGGTCGACGCCTGAATTTATAAGAATTGAGTGATAGATGTTGGAGAGGAGGAAGATGGGACTAGGTACCGCATCGTAAGCCCACTTTTTAGAGTTCAAGAGAAGAAAAGGCTGCCACATTTTTCGTTTTTTTCTGACCGATAGTATCACGAGCCCCACCTTCAAGCCATAATCCAGACCCGGTTCGGGACGGGAGAGCCGCCAGACCGCACCTACCCTCCCTGGCCACTTTTTTTACAATTCCCCGAGTCTTATTTGCAGCCACCTTTCCGAGTAACCATAATTATTGAAGTATCACAGTTACAGCTAAACCCAATTGACACGTTATAGACAGTTTTATGTAGTGATCAAGCTGTCTCTTAATGTATATAGAACCACAAAAAGTAATATAGATGATCTTAACCACTATTCTCTCTATTAGTGGGCCTCGGGGAACTGTAAAAAAAGTGGCCAGGGAGGGTAGGTGCGGTCTGGCGGCTCTCCCGTCCCGAACTGGGTCTGGATGGAAATAGACATCTATCTACCGCAGTATGATACGGTACGAAATGATCGTTAGCTTTATCAGTGGACCTCATAATTCTGCCAGTCCACCAATGTCGCAAGTTGCTGAATAATCCCATATCATTACTTTAGAAGGAAGCGGTAGTACCTGTGACATATTTGCCACCAGTGGACCACCAGATCCCACTAATGATCTTTTCGCACCGTACAATAGTAAGTACTTGGTTCAAGGAAGTTATGGGATTGCCCGTGACCAGTCGAGAAGCTTGAACTGACTCGCGAGGCCGCCATATTGACCGTTTGCGCCTTTCATTCTACTGGTAATGGTGTTGCCCCGAGCCTATCGATAGGGCTGGCCCTTGCAATGACGACGCTAATTTGCGAACAGCTCCCCGATGCCCCCTTGCGTCACCAAATATGCGCCTCTTTTTTTGCGTAGATGGAGCAAGTGCCCGGTCACCTTTCAAGATAGTCTGGCGGGATAATTATAGATTCAACGGGGGACTTGCTACTACTTTGACCCGCAAAGAGTACTTAGCACAAAGGTTGGGAAATGATGGAAACTGTGGGGTGAGCATCACTGTTCAAATGCCTTGTTGAGTGTTTAATCCAATATGACGAGGAGTGCAAGCTGGCCAACTCACTAATGTGAGAGCAGATTGCAGTAGTAGATTATTGGAATTGGAGTCCAGGGCAGATATGATCAACCTGCCCAAAATGGTGGGAAAGGACCATATAACCCATCTTTCAGCGGCACAGGTGGAGTCACTGCATACGTGCTTCTGAGCTTTGCAGGGCCCTACCGACACGTAAAACGAGCTTATCAGTCAGAAGGATACAGGAACCAGATCACACAATCGCGCGGGGCTCTAGGATTGTTACGACCATGCCTGAGCTTCTTTACCTGCGGGCCCTTCTCCAGTGTCCGAGTAATAGCGACACTTGAGTCGCCCCACTGATCAGGCCCTAAAGGAGAAATACCGTTAGATTACTCGGAAGAGTGGGTCTCTAACCTAGATACCCCTTGCATGCCTGCTGGACATATCTTTCTCTATTGGCTCCTTCCCGGGGTCTGCGAGCCCCGAACAGCCCTATTGCTACAATTTAATAAAGTCTACTCTTGTATCTGGAACATTCCGGTCCGGTCTGTGGTCACATCCTATAAGATTGAGGACATCTTGAATCACAATTGGCTGTTCATCAATCTTTTGTCGAAGTCTCTTGTCCCTTCTCGCAATATTCATTACTAGAAACACCGACTCGCTCAAAATAAAGCTCAGTGAAACTTTGACATCATAATGTCTGACATTTCAGATGATCAGATAGCCTACACCTGGCACGACGCTTTATTTATTCCTGTCGTCTCCTCCAATTTGATCGATCCCATGGCTCCCAGGGATCCCAATGTGGGCATGTCAGCTGCGGACTTCAGCGAAACACAGCTCAGGCCAGAGACCGAGACAAGGCCAATTCCAATGAGCCACAATAACTGTCTTCCAACAGCCCATGACAGCCATGAGCATTATAACATATCTTCACCAGAGCTACCGACAGAAACTTATTTCACCCACGGTGCCATCCACGGGACACACCCACCCCAGAACCCTTTTTATCAAGGTTACAATAACCACTAGTTACCTTATTTTCCAACCCATCGGAGCACTCCACTTGCAGGTGGACCATCGAGGCCTAAACCAAGGAGTAAACCCCGTTCATCTGTTCCAAGGTATTTTCATTCATAAGATGGTCCAACGCTTCATGATATACCGGAAGGCTTACGCAGGATAAGATCCAACGTTGAGGTATGCAATTGGGAGGGAGGCAACAGATTCTTTAATAGGAATGCGGAGCTTAGGTGCCATGTCATCTCTATCCATGTTTCTCCATGTTCCCACGTGTGCATAGCTTGCGGTCATTATTTCAACCGGAGAGACAATCTTGCGGACCATATGTTGTGGGCACATGGGTCTATAAAATGTGAAGATACGACGGAAAATCAGTCTTGATTTATCCTTTCAATGTCTTTCAAAGTGGTTGTATACTAATAGGTTGTGGCATTGCACTACACTATGGCTGTTTGGTTCGATGCAATTGTCGCTTTGGATATTCCATAGGTGTCACTCTTCCTAAATGGTTACATGCTCAAATGGAAGTTCAAAACAGTTTACCAAGGTAGTCCGCCACAACGAAGCTCATGTAACGATGAAGTCAATCGAGGACAACCACTGGGTCTTAGTAAATCTACACTAGCTCATATGCCACGTAGGCCATCCACTGACCCTCAAGTCTGTCGTTATCCTTTCTTTTGCTTTAGCATACCTGGGTCATATTTTCACGGCATTGGGATAGCGAAAATGGCCATCTGGGGTAAAATTGCAATGCTATCAAACCTTTCGCGAGGTAAATGTGTATACGACACCTACCGATAGATGGTTGTAATGCTCCGAACATAGACTTGGCAAAGCTTCGATTACTAGGAGATAATCGCTATCTCAAACTCATGTTTGTGCGAGATGCCGATTCCTCAATAGGTGTCTACGGACCCTGCCGCACATATGCCGGAGGTATCCGGCAGAAGGTGAGTAATCTGCGCCCCCTTTCTATCTATATAAAGGTACTTGCACCTGCCTGCATTCGCCATTATCATCGAGCTTGTCATTCGGTTCCTGGATCTGAGGTTTAAAGTCAAGAGCCGCCTATTCGATTACTGGATTCTAACCCAACTGAACATGGCTGTGCTTATGTCTTCCACCAGCTTTCCTCACAGTGTTGAGACCAGCTGGTGACTTTCCTTTGTACCCACCTGCCACATGCGCGGTCATCGGCCATAATGACGCCATCTCTTAAAGCGAGGCAACCTAGATGCATCAATGTACGCTGTGCGTCCTTCAATCACTCCTTCATATTTGATATTTGATCAAGGAGAACCTACACAACACCCACCAGGGCTGCGAATGCTAAGGCTGCACATCGCCAATACATTTCCCCCGGAAACAGCAGAGCCACAATGCATTTCTTCATCTGGCGCAAAGGTCCTTTCCTTCCTGGGTATAGCGATGGTAGTTGAAATTGTGAAGTTACGGACAATGACGATCCGTCGTATGTCTGTTGTTTGTGTCTATGGTACTTGAATCCATTCAGTTGTCGCAAGATGAATATACGCCACCACCAGAACACATCACCTGAGAGAATCCCGAAAGCGAAACGATCGCTGAAAGATCTATCTAATGACCAAGTGGGGGACTGCAAATCTTGCGGAAATATGATATATACCCTCCACAGATCACAGACACAGCGAATCTATCTGCCATAAGATTACGTTGGCAAAGGACAATGAGAAATCTCCACTTCTTGGGCTACTTGTGTCAACCACCACAGAAGCATTCCTAATCAGGTGGCTCGGGTATATCCACGCTATTTGATCCGTGCAGACTTGCGTGCGTATTGTATACGAGCTGCACAGCTTGAACTCCAACAGTAAGAGTTCAACACGGACTCGGTCTAGCATGAGAGAAGAACCTCTGTCTTGAGGCTATCTGCCAACAAAGCCACATTGCTCCGAAGAGAATAATCAAGAACAGGCAGTGTGCAATGGTCTTTCTATCATCAACTATCACCCTACATCTCGGACCATCCCTAAGCTATCCCGTGATCAAGTTACCCCAATATTCGACCCACAATCCACATATCTCAGCTTGTACAGGTGAATCAACAACTGCAATTCCTAGGGTCGTGCAAGAGTGAGCAAAATAACTGACCTGCCCGCTCATGCCCACTGCTTTTGACGGACATGGTGATACACCATCAGTTCCTCTTCTTCCACGTCATTAAGATCTCCGACAATGCCTGCAGATATGGCTAATTCATTCAACATCAATGACTACATCATTGAAGAGATAATGGGCCAACCATCAGATGTTCTTCCCGGGCCAGATCACTACCAATTCCCTACTGGAGTCTGCCCAATACAGCGGAGAAAACTGAAGCACAATCAGCATGGGTGCTATGAGCATTCTTCTTAATGAATTCTATACCTTCTCTTCTTTGCACACCAGTCGCAGGGAGATATTACTCGGAACAGCCCTTACAAAACTCAGTGCTGCTCTGGCATGGGCCAAAGCAACCCTGGTGACCTCCTCGACGTTTGCTACAGCCGTGGAAATTGAAATACGGGGACCGGTACAGCCACACCGGCTTCGTTCCTGCCACGCCATTCTGATCACGTGCTGCTTCAACCGCCTGCTTTTATAAGATATGACTATCATATTTCCTTGCAGCATCTTCGGCGCATAAGGACCTACAATTGCCTAAGACTATACACGCGCAGATTCAGGGCATACAAAGCTACATAGATCACGCCATACAAACCCACGCGGAACATGCAGACCACACAGACCACAAAGTTAGACAGGTCATACAAAGTCATACAAAGCCATGCAGGTTACGCAGGCTACGCAAGCTCTACAGACCATGCTAAACCTGCTTCATATCACGCTATACTCTACCTATTGCGTTAAGCAGTGTCATCAA